CCATATAGTATATCTCTGTGTTGTGTGTTTCTCGTTGTCGTGCGTCTGATAGGGTGAGGGCGTGATTACGTCTTGTATTAGCGGCATGTGGCGATCTTCTTTTGGTGTTCTGAAGACGTCTTTTGTCTGAGCTCCAGCGGTATCAGGGTAAGGGTAAACGTTAGCCCCCGCGTGGTGTTTGATTTTGGGTTGGGGACATCCACCACGCCATCTGCGTCCCTCAGCTTCGTTTGACGATCATTTTGCTGTCGCGCACAGCAGTCACGTAGTCGGACTTTTTTTTCCAACACAGCAGTTGGTTCTCATGGGGGCAGGCTGCCGCGCGTTGCTTTTGTTCTTGTTCTATGTCGAACTACAGCCCGAAATCCGCGAAGGTTCCTGACTTGCTGTTTTTCGTTCAGGCAGTCGTTGCGCTGTGTTTTGTTCTCCATGTAGATTTAGGCGCTTTTATTTTCAAACAGCTTTTCGTTCGGCTTTCTGTCCATAATTCTGCCCTTCATGCATTGGGACATTTTGGGTAGTTTTCCGAGGTTTGCTTTTGATCATGCTGATGAAACAGTGGATTGAGAGGAGGAGCGGCGCTCCTCGGATCGTTGTGCTCGCGGCACAAAGATTGAACAAATCGCTTTCAACCAAATGGAGTCTGACACTGAAATTTGATATTGGAACTGCCTGTGGCATCCGGAAGCACAAACATGATGGCGTGGAAAGGGTACACCGTACGGTGCACGACAGCAAAGCTATGTGCTTCACCGTAAATTATGACATCGCTCGAGCGGCCGATATATCGGCCCCACTACACGTGTTGTTCGAGAAATATGTTTTTTTCTACCAATATCAGATACAGCGCGAATACCGCGTCGTTGTAACCTCACTTTGGTAGACGTCGAAGCTTCCCAGACCCAAATCTTAGCAACCACAATCACGTACGCGCCTGATGTTCCCAAATGTTAGACCCACGTATGAACCACCAAACAAGACGCCTTCGCCCTTCGAATTAGCAGTACAACACTTGCCATTCCAGTAGTAATTATGCAAATACTGCTGCGTATGCACAACCTCGAAAAGGCCATGCCCCCTCTCAAACAAGCGCATCTCCCGGCCAGCTTTTACATGTCACGATGCACCCCCNGTTGTGAAAGCTGACCGGGAGATGCACTTTTTGTGAGAGGGGGCATGACCTTTTCGAGGTTGTGCATACGCAGTAGTATTTGCATAACTACGCACCCCCCTCTATAACTCGGCCTTTCGACTCGGTTGATCCTCTCAAGCCTTGGACCCATGTTGTCTCCTCCCTGGCAGTTCCATGCCCATCAGCGGTACCCCCCCACAACAAGTTAGTGCCAACAACATATTCGCCTGATTGAGAGCGAAGTATCTGATTGAGAGCGAGAGCCAAAAAAATTGAAATTTCGGGTCCAGACGCCTCTTGCCATTTCTTGGCAAGTAGGGGACGGGCTATTCCAAGAAGCGGTGCAAATTGAAGGTCTCATCAGCAGCTTCGCGAGCATATGCGTGTCATCGTCATCGGATGCTGCAGCGAGGAGCTAGACAAGTTGCTAGATTTGCCCAGATTGGCTATTTCTGCTCAAACTGTTTCAGGGCGGTATCGCGTCGGGCGGTGGGCTCTGCTGTAGCTTCTGCNTGTTGTTTGCCGTGTTTATGCATTGAGATCAACTTTTCAAACTTGAAGATGAACACATGAGCGACCTGGTAAAACGACAGTAAAAGTCCTCTATTCATGAGACATGATGTTAAATGCACCCCCCCACCATTTCCCCCCCCCCAAGCCCTCGGGGTTTGCCATCGGGGTTGGGTTTTCGTCGCTTGGCAACGACGTTGTAAAACAAGCCAATTCACTTCGTGAACTCGGCAACCAGGTTACCGTTTTTTTTTTTTTCCTCCGTTTTTTTTTTTGGCGGTAACCATAATGGTGGTCGAGTAGATCATATTGTACGGGGTGGAGAACCCTCGCTCCGCGCAAGGGGGATAATCGCACCACGTTGTGTTAAAATGGTCAAGCACCCTCGCGGCAGTTACACAGTGCTTACAACTGTCTCTGGAAGTGAAAGCACCAGAAAGTAAATTAATTCATACGCAGCTGTCATCCGTACGCAAGGAAGTAAGCACAAGATGCCGAA